CACTGGGCCACATGATGCACAGATAGTTGGTTAAACACTGTTTCTGGGTATATCTGTGAGGGTGTTTCTGGGTAAGATTCATATCTGAAGGCATAGACCGAGGAAAGCACATTGCTGTTTCTATTTTGAGTGGGCCTCACCCAGTTTGTTAAAGGCCTGAATAGGATAAAAGGCTAAATAAGAAAGAGTTCTCTCTCTGCCTGTCTTCAGTCTGGGACACTGAAGGTCTTCTCATGCCTTTGACTAAAACTCAGACTGGAACTGATACCATCAGCTCTTCTGGGTCTGAACTTCTCAGCCTCCATGGTTGCATGACTTAATTCTTTATAATAAATCTTTCTCTTTCTTCTCTCTGCGCGCGCACACACACACGCGCACACACACACGCACACACAATTTGTTCTGTTAATCCCTAACTAATATATCTTTCATATTTTTAAAAATTTTATTCAAGTCCTTGTATGCTAGCGACCAAACATATATCTTCTAGATCAGTATTTCTACTGGTTACTTTTTCTCTTAACTATCTTTAAGTTTTTCCTTTTTTTTTTTTGGAGACGGAGTTTTGCTCTTGTTACCCAGGCTGGAGTGCAATGGCACGATCTCGGCTCACTGCAACCTCCGCCTCCTGGGTTCAGGCAATTCTCCTGCCTCAGCCTCCCGAGTAGCTGGGATTACAGGCACGCGCCACCATGCCCAGCTAATTTTTTGTATTTTTAGTAGAGACAGGGTTTCACCATGTTGACCAGGATGGTCTCGATCTCTTGACCTCGTGATCCACCCGCCTCGGCCTCCCAAAGTGCTGGGATTACAGGCTTGAGCCACCGCGCCCAGCCAAGTTTTCCCTTGTGCCTCATCATAATCTTTTTTTTTTTTTTTTTTTTTTGCAGACATTGTGGATTATAATTTTGGAGATTCTTCCTCTAAAGGTTTGCTAATTTTTTTTCTGGTGGACAGCTCACATACTTACAGGTTACTTGATCCCGTCAAAGCTTGGTTTTGGTCTAAGGTGTGGTCTTTATGTTAGAGGACCTTTGGGGTGTTGCTTTTCTGGCTGGAAACATGTGGCCAGTCACCTTTGCTCAAGTTTACTTGATCCTGTGGGGCTTGTTCTGCCCACTCAGCCTGGCAGGCTGTGCTCAGCTCACACTACCAGCCTGGCTCCCATGCCTGCCAAGGGAGACCGTGTGGAGAAGCAAGAGGTGTGTGAGTGAGCCTGCTGTCCCGCCACTGGGACATGCTGGCTGCTGGAATGGGCGGGCAGCTCCAGGTGCTAGCCTTCTGTGAGGCTGTGGCTGGACCAGGTGGACCGCAGGCAGCTTCCACAGCTGTTACCAGGGAACATGGTGGTGCTTGGAAGCTTGGAGACACCAGGAACCACAGAACTTCAAAGAGGAAGTCACAGACCTGGCTCAGACAGTTCCCAGGTCTGAGGTCCCCAAAGGCCTATAGCTCTTCTTCTTTTTCCCTGCAATTTGGTGATCAAGGGGTATGTTTCAGCCTGTTTGTGTTATAGCTTTTTCAGCTCCAACACTCGACAAGTCCCCACCACTTGATGCGTCCCAAGTTCTTGTCCTGTGACAAGGAAGAATGAGGTACACAGACAAGTGGAGGGTAAGCAAGATAAAGAGAAGCTTTATTGAGCAATAGAGTAGCTCCTTTCCACAGCCAGGGTGTCCCAACAAGTGTTCAGCTCCTGGCAGAGAGGAGACCCTGAGGTGGGAAGATCCTCTGTGCAGGTAGGTGGTCCTATTGTCTGCCTAGCTCTCAGCAGAGAGGCAGCCCTGAGGTGGGTTGCTCTTCTCTACAGCTGGTTGTCCTGATGTCTGCTCTGCTCTGGCTGATCCTGGGGCTTTTATGGGCCCTGGAGAGGGGGAAGTATGTGCTGATTGATCCATGAGTGACCATGGGCAGGCCTGGAAAAGGCACCACAAATTCTCACTCTGGTCTGCAGGACTGGCAGACTGGCCCTTCGCCTTCAGGCCCTCCTTGGCCTGAAGGTGGGGCCTCACCAGGGACCTGCCCCCTTTATTGTTCAATAAAGCTCCTCACCTTTAAGGGTAGAATTGTTAATTGAGTTTTATATATATATATATATATATATATATATATATATATATATATATATAATTGAGTTATATATATTCATTGAATGACTTGAGTTATATATATTCATTGAATAACTTGAGTTATATATATATTCATTGAGTTATTTATATATATATAAATTTATATATATACATTCATTGAGTTATTTATATATATATATATATATATATAACTCAATGAATAATCCTACCTTTAAAGTTAGGTATCTATATAGACATATATATATATATATATAACTCAAAAAATAATTCTTGATGAATATTGTTTTATGTATATATGTATATATATAAAACTATATATATGTATACACACACACACACACACACGCGCACACACACACATATAAGTTAATGAATAATTCTACCCTTAAGGAGTGGGGAGTGCAGGAGGGTGACTGGTGGGCAGAGGGCTGTGGTTCCTAAATCTCTAGTTGAAGAAAAAGCAGATGAAAAAGGAAGATTTCTCAGCCAATGGAATTACCCCAGAACATGAAGACAAAGATAACAGCAGCAACAGTACCAATCATAGCAGTATCAGTGATAAAATGTCCTCTCTGGGCCTATTGTAGTTACTTATAAAACAAAGAGAATAAACCAAGTAATCCTTAACTTCAACTTAGCTCTGAAGATCCACTGTTTGCCATTTTTCCTTCCTTTTTCTCAAAAAGGGGAGCATAGCGGTGGTTTAGTGATCTTATGTTAATCCCTTAGTATTCACCAGTCATCTGTGAGCCTGTCTAGTGTGAAAGACGTTCTTGATGCCAGGAGCACAGAGGTGAAGGAAGTTGACTTGTTTCTGGTTCTCACGGGGCCTTGTATATCCCACTAATAACATTCCTTGGGACTGGGCTGTGCAACTCATTATTCATTACATGTAATTTATAAATTCTAGGCGGAATGAATTGCTATCGCTTGGTCATGAGGTCAAGATATTTAAAAATCAATTTGATATGTGATATGTGAAGAAAACGGACCTTGGGGATCATTTTTGTTCAGACTATCTCATGTTACAGGTGAGGACAGAGTTTTCTTTTTCAGTTTGGATATTTTCACTAAGCATGGGGTCTCTGAGCTTCATTGCTGTTGCGTGTATTAGCAGCGTATTCCCTTTTATGGATAATTAGTTATGTATGGATTTACCAAGATTTGTTTATCCCTTGACTCGTCTATCAACGCTGGGGCTGTTTCTTGATCTTGGCCGTTGTGTATAAATCCTCTATGAACCTGTTTAAAAAAATTTGAAGTTCTGGGGAAATGGAGTGACAGAGCCAGAATTTAGGCTTGGTAATTACCAGCTCTTGCCACTGGGAGGCAGCACATGCTATGGTCAGAGCTTGGCCTTTGGAGTCAGGCCCTAATTTGATTGCTAGTTTTGACATGATCTGTGTAATCTGGGGCAAGTGACTTAACTTCACCAAACTTTAGTTTTCTTAACTGTATAATAATAATAGTATCTTTGTTTTAGACCTGTTATGAGGACGAAAATGAAGTAAGATACTGTACTGCACTGAGGGGAGAATTGGGCACAAAATAAAGACTTAATAGCCTTGTGAGTTATACTTCGAGTACCTTTTAAATACAATTGTTTTAATTTTCATGCCGATTGCTTACTTTTTGAATAATGTGTACGTTTGCATTATATGTACTAAATATGTCTCTCACACATGCTTCTTTCTTGATGGTCTATTATTTCGCATCTCAACTGCTTTTCATTTTGAGAATTCCAAATTTTTCTGCTTTTTTGCTTGACTACTAATAAAATTGCACCTCTTTCCTGATAAGAATTCTGGCAATAATTCAGGCATGACAATTAGAGGACCTGGTGAGGTTTGAGGACGGCATTCCGTGAGCAAACACCACCCCAGAACAGGTTTCATGTATTGAAAAACCAACTTCAGTTTTTACTCTAGATGCAGTTCTTGTCTTTGTTAACACTGGTTCTAGTTTGCCCCATTATTAAAACCACCATCTGTAAGATTCTAGCTCTCTTGCCATTTCTGCTGTTGAAGAGTCTTGCGATCTTAGTGACATTTGGCATGGGGGCTATTTTCAGTTTCAATGAGGAGTCTCTTGGCCAGGCCATCTTACCTGTATGTCTGTGTGTTTTAGGAAGCAGCGGAGGAGGGCAGGTAGAGTGCGGGAAGATGGGACTTTTGTGGGCAGGTGGATTGGATGTGGGGAAAGTTTCCGTGCTGGTGGTAAACAGTTTAAAGCCAAACCAGATGTTCCAATTAACCTTGGTCCCCAGTTCAGGACTGCTCGTCTGTGCATATGCTCAACAAATTCTGAGTTTGAACTCCATCCACGTGTGCGTGACCCCTCAGGGTAGACAGTGGTGGAAAAGATGACACAGCCTCTCCTTGGTTACCCACTGTAAATGTCACCCAGAGAAAGCGTGGAGACTATGTAGTGTTTATTTCTTAAAAACCATCTTCTGGCTGGGCGTGGTGGCTCAAGCCTGTAATCCCAGCACTTTGGGAGGCCAAGGCGGGTGGATCACGAGGTCAAGAGATCAAGACCATCCTGGTCGACATGGTGAAACCCCGTCTCTACTAAAAATACAAAAAAATTAGCTGGGCATGGTGGTGTGTGCCTGTAATCCCAGCTACTTGGGAGGCTGAGGCAGGAGAATTGCCTGAACCCAGGAGGCGGAGGTTGTGGTGAGCAGAGATCGTGCCATTGCACTCCAGCCTGGGTAACAAGAGCGAAACTCTGTCTCAAAACAAAACAAAAAACAACAACAACAAAAAAACCAACTTCTGTTATTACTCTAGTTAAAGTTCTTATTTCTGTTAACTCTCTTTCCTTCTAACCTTATTAACTACCTTAAATCTTTTTTTGAATCAAAGTGGTGATGAAGTAAAATACACCCCTATTAAATATTCTCTGTGATTTTAATATCCATCAATTATTAAAGACATGTATGACAAAAAGAGTGAATCATACAGTGTTGACAGTGGAGCATTTTTGACTGTGATGCATGGTTCTATTTTCTATGATGAGGAAAGGAAATGAAAATATTTGGCAAATAAGGAGAATTGGAGGGGGAAGATTCATCTCACGACATTTATATTCTCTGTGTTATTTTCAGGCTTCATGCCTTTGCCATTGGTTCTAGTTTCCTCCATTATTAATATCACCATCTGTAAGATTCTAGCTCTCTTGGCATTTCTTCTGTTGAAGAGTCTTGTGATCTTAGCCTATGAAATAAAAACAAATGGGGGATGCTTGAGTTGGGACCAGAAAGTAAATTAATTTCTGCTTATATAAAAGGGCGCCCTGTACATTCTCTGCTGCACCTCTGTCGCTTCTGTTTTGCACGATGTGTATTGATCTAAGGGAACACGTTATGCTCTTCCTACGTGATTTCTGGAATACAGAACATTGGTTCAAAAGAAAAGATGTGACAGCAGGGCAAGATTACAACTCCAAAGAAAACTTTGCAGGAAGGAAATCAAATGGGAAATGCTAATAGAGCCTATTCATTTCTGAGAAATGAGTTAGAATATATTTTGGCTGCAGGAGAGGGGTTGTTTATTGTTCCACATCTATCAAGGGTGATAGAATGGAAGCTATATCAGGCCATTCTTGCACTGCTATAAATATCCCAAACTGGGTAACTTATATAAAAAAGAGGCTTAATTGGCTCATGGTTCTGCAAGCGTTACAGGTAGCATGGTGCTGGTATCTGCTTGGCTTCTGGGGAGGCCTCCAGAAGCTTACAATCATGGCAGAAGGGGAAGGGGGAGCAGGCATGTTACAAGGTGAGAGCAGGAGCAAGACACGGGGGTGGGGGGTGCCACACACTTTGTTTTTTGAAACAGAGTTTTGCTCTGTCACCCAGGCTAGAGTTCAGTGGCATGATCTTAGCTCACTGCAACCTCTGCCTCCCAGGTTCAAGTGATTCTCCTGCCTCAGCCTCTGGAGTAGCTGGGATTATAGTAGCTACCATCATGCCTGGCTATTTATTTTGTATTTTTACTTTTTTTTTAGTAGAGATAGGGCTTTACCATGTTGACCAAGCTGATCTCAAACTCCTGACTTCAGGTGATCCGCCTGCCTCGGCCTCTCAAAGTGCTGGGATTATGGGCATGAGGCACTGCCAGTGCCACACACTTTTAAACAACCAGATCTGGCAAGAACTCACTCACTATTGCAAAGACAGCAACAAGCCATGAGATATTCCACTAGGAATTACAGCCCTGGGAATTACAGCTTAACAGTGAGATCTGGGCAGGGACGAATAGCCAAACCATAGCATGGTAGACTGTAAAAGGGGCATGAATGAAAAGGAAAAACAGACAAAATAGGCAAATCCAAATGAGCAAACTTTGCACTGGAAAGTCAACCAACAGCCTCTGCATAAAGTCAAGAAGCAGAGCTTGCTTACCGGCCATGAAATCCCAACATGTGCTGCTGGTCCCTGAGCAGGGTGCTGGACTCTAACTGCCAGTGACACTGCTGGGCCCTGGCAACTGAGTGGGCTCTTGAATGGTCTCTTCAGTGGAGAAGGTGGACGGTCTTCCTCGAGCTAACTTCATTTTCAGTTAGTTCTATAACCGGGTACAATCCTCTGTGGAGCGTTGGCTAGTTCCTTGCTTAGGTGTAATAGTTGTTTCTTCTGTAAGTATTGGACTTGTGTTCTCAGGTGGCAAATTCGGAGATACGTGTGGAAAACAAGAACTACAATGAAAGAAATGCAGTTCCGTGTAAGATTGCTTTTATCTTTCCGCTGAGTTTGCCCCATTTTTAAATCAAGGCAATTAATAACCAAAAGGGTGTAAAGACTCAAGTTATGTTGGAAAAATTTATTTCCACTTAAAAATCATGCCTGGATCACAATGATTCAGTTTATGTAACCTCTCCCACTCCCTTCCATGAGAATTGCTGTTGGCCTCCAAATGCTGGTACACAAATGATCAGATAATCAGGCCTAGAAATTAATGAGTTTACCAGATTCACATATCTTAAGGCATCTGATATGTTAAATCCAGACGCAGTCTTTCCATAAAACCAGCAGTTGTATTCGAATGTGTCCTAGGAGGGAAAATGATATTTTTTACGTCTAGAAATCAACAGAAATACATGACAGTCAACTCAACACAGATAAACTTCCAAAACATTTGCTTTTCCTTGCTGGAATGTGTCCAGACGGTGGTTTAGATGACTGGAGAGTTCTATGTTTAGCTAGAAATGGGTCTGTGGCAAGCCAGCAATGGAAAATAAACAATCTTTTCATTAAGGAAGATACAAAATCATGCTGAACACATTTTCTTAAGTTAAAAAGCACAGAACAGTAAGTTCTCCGCTTCAGAATCAATATAGCAAAATACAAGCCAATAAACAGAAAACAAGGTTGTAATTACCTTGCCATTTTATTGATTCCATCCAAATCAGAGCTATTAGGCCTGAAAGGTTCAAAATGTGCTTCAGTATCTTGGCAAGTTATCTCGTGTGAGGGGTAGAAAGGAACTGAGGCACCTGTTAAGTCAGCTGGTCATGTTGAAAGAGACTTGGTCCTTTGGTATTAGTGTTCTCCACCCATCATGAAATGTTGCTACAAACATGAATAGACCTTGTAAGTCAAAGTTAGAGTCCACCAGTTCCATCACCATGGAAACATCTCAATGTTTCCGTTCATTCCTATGGGGAAGATCTTGGGTGAAGTCAGGGCCAGAGGGGTGACTCGGAATATGGCAATGACAGGAAAGTCAGGAGGTGGGATGAACTGGAGGATCAGGGTATCCACTTGGGCTTCTGTTGGAGGCCCTGGGCCAAGGAATTCTATTCTGATGGGGTAAGCTGAGCTTTCTTAAAGTTGGCAGGAGCTGACTGTGAAATAGACCTGACTGAATTCTGGCACAGGGAAGCTCTCTTTTTCCTTCTTTATTCAGACCAGGGATAAGTGGGGCATAATTTAAAGATAGCAGGAACCATTTTAAACTATGCATTTTTTTCTTTTTCTTTTCTTTCTTTCTTTTTTTTTTTTTTAAGATGAGGTCTTGCTCTGTTGCCCAGGCTGGAGTACAGTGGCATGATCATAGCTCACTGCAGCCTTGAACTCCGAGGCTCAAGTGACTTTCTGCCTTAGCCTCCTGAGTAGCTAGGATTACAGGTATGTGCCACCACCACACCTGGCAAAATTTTTAATTTTTTGTAGAGAAGGGGTCTCATTGTGTTGCCCAGGCTGGTCTTGAACTCCTAGGCTGAAGTGATCCTCCTGCCTTGGCCTCCTGTTGGGATCTCCTGCTGGGATTACAGGCATGAGCCATGGCACTCAGACTTTTTTTTTCTTTAAAAACTGATTCTGGGATGCCCAGGCAAGACAGCCAAATAGGAACAGCTCCTGTCTGCAGCTCTCAGTAAGACCCACACAGAAGGCAGGTGATTTCTGCATTTCCAACCAAGGTAACTGGTTCATCTCACTGGGACTGAGTAGACAGTGGGTGCAGCCCACGAAGGGCGTGCCAAAGCAGGAAGTACAAGGGGTTGGGGAACTCCCTCCCCTAGCCAAGGGAAACCATGAGGGACCTTGCCATGAGGGATGGTGCTATCTGGCCCAGACATTATGCTTTTCCCACGGTCTTCACAACCCACAGACCAGGAGATTCCCTCGGGTGTCTGTACTATAAGCGTCCTAGGTTTCAATCACAAAACTGGGCTCCCATTTGGGTAGACACAGAGCTAGCTTCAGGAGTTTTTTTTTTTTTTCGTACCCCAGTGGCACCTGGAATGCCAGCAAGACAGAACTGTTCACTCGCCTGGAAAGGCGGCTGAAGCCAGGGAGCCAGGTGGCCTTGCTCAGTGGATCTCACCTGCATGGAGCCCAGCCAGCTAAGATCCACTGGCTTGAAATTCTTGCTGCCAGCACAGCAGTCTAAAGTCGACCTGGGATGCTTGAGCTCGGTGGGAGGAGGGGTGTCCATTGTTACTGAGGCTTGAGTAGGTGGTTTTCCATTCGCAGTGTAAACAAAGCTGCCAGGAATTCTGGACTCGGAAGAGCCCACTACAGCTTGGCAAAGCTACTGTAGCCAGACTGCCTTTCTAGATTCCTCCTCTCTGGGCAGAGCATCTCTGAAAGAAAGTCAGCAGCTCTAGTCGGGGGCTTATAGATAAAACTCCCATCTCCCTGGGACAGAGTACCTGTTGGTATGGGCTTATGGGCGGCTGTGGATGCAGCTTCAGCAGACTTAAATATTTCTGCCTCCCAGCTCTGAAGACAGCAGCAGATCTCCTGGCACAGAGTCTGATCTCCTGCTCAAGCTCTGCCAAGGGACAGACTGCCTCCTCAAGTGAGTCCCTGACCCCCGTGCCTCCTGACGGGGGTCAGGAACAGTGGCAGACATCATACAGGAGAGCTTCAGCTGGTGTCTGGCAGCTGCTCCTTTGGGATGAAGCTTTCAGAGGAAGGAACAGGCAGCAACCCTTGCAGTTCTGCAGCCTCCACAGGTGAAACCAAGGTAAACAGGGTCTGGAGTGCACCCCCAGCAAACTCCAGCAGACCTGCATAAAAGGGGCCTGACTGTTAAAAAAAAAAAACAAAACACCTAACAAACAGAAAATCTGGTACCAAAACAGATATATAGACCAATGGAACAGAACAGAGGCCTCAGAAATAACACCACACATCCACAATCATCTGATCTTTGACATCAACCTGACATCGACATCAACAAAAAGGGTGTCCATTCCAAAATCCCATCTGAAGATCACCAACAGCAAAGACCAAGGGTATAAAAATCCATGAAGATGTGGAAAAACCAGCACAAAAGGCTGAAAATTCCAAAAACTAGAATACCTCTTCTCCTCCAGAGGATCACAACTCACTAGCAAGGGAACAAAACTGAACAGAGAGTGAATTTGATGAATTGAAAGAGGCTTCAGAAGGTGGGTAATAACAAACTCCTCCAAGCTAAAGGTGCGAGTTCTAACTCAATGCAAGGAAGCTAAGGACCTGGATAAAAGGTTAGAGGAATTGCCAACTAGAATAACCAGTTTAGAGGAGAACATCAATGACCTGATGGCGCTGAAAAACACAGCATGAGAACTTCGTGAAGCATACGCAAGTATCCAGAGCTGAACTGATCAAGTGGAAGAAAAGATATCAGACCTTGAAGATCAACTTAATGAACTAAAGCATGAAGACAAGATTAGACTCCCATTCACAATTGCTACAAAGAGAATAAAATACCTAGGAATAAGACTAACAAGGGATATGAAGGACCTCTTCAAGGAGAACTACAAACCACTGCTCAAGAAAATAAGAGAGGACACAAACAGATGGAAGAACATCCCATGCTCATGGTTAAGAAGAATGAATATTATGAAAATAGCCACACTGCCCCAAAGTACTGTTACCAAAATGGATATATAGACCTCAGAACAGGACAGAGACCTCAGAAATAACACTACAACTATCTGATCTTTGACAAACCTGACAAAAATAAGCAAAGGGGAAAGGATTCCCTATTTAATAGATGGTGTTGGGAAAACTGGGTAGCCATATGCAGAAAACTGAAACTGGACCCCTTCCTTACACCTTGTACAAAAATTAACTCAAGATGAATTAAAGATTTAAATGTAAGACCTAAAAGCATAAAAACCCTAGAAGAAAACCTAGGCAATACCATTCAGGACATGGGCATGGGCAAAGTCTTCATGACTAAAACAGCAAAAGCAATTGCAACAGAAACCAAAATAGACAAATGGGATCTAATTAAACTAAAGAGCTTCAGCACAGCAAAAGAAGCCATCATCAGAGTGAAGAGGCAATTGTAGAACTGGAGAAAAATTTTGCGATCATCCGTCTGACAGAGGGCTAATATCCAGAATCTACAAAGAACTTAAACAAATATACAAGAAAAAAAAAAACCCCATCAGAAAGTGGGCAAAGGATATAAACAGACACTTTTCAAAAGAAGACATTTATGTGGCCAACAAACATATGAAAAAAAGCTCATCATCACTGGTCATTAGAGAAATGCAAATCAAAATCGCAACGAGATGCTATCTCACGCCAGTTAGAATGGCGATCATTAAAAAGTCAGGAGACAACAGATGCTGGAGAGGATGTGGAGAAACATGAACAGTTTACACTGTTGGTGGGAATGTAAATTGGTTCAACCATTGTGGAAGACAATGTGGTGATTCTGCAAGGATCTAGAAATAGAAATACCATTTGACCCAGCAATCCCATTACTGGGTATATATCCAAAGGATTATAAATCATTCTACTATAAAGACACATGCACACTTATGTTTATTGCAGCACTGTTCACAATAGCAAAGACTTGGAACCATCCCAAATGCTCATCAATGATAGACTGGATAAAGAAAATGTGGCACATGTACACCATGGAATACTATGCAGCAATAAAAAAGGATGCGTTCATGTCCTTTGCAGGGACATAGATGAGGATGGAAACCACCATTCGCAACAAACTAACACAGGAACAGAAAATCAAACACCACATGTTCTCACTCATAAGTGGGAGTTGAATAATGAGACACATGGGCACAGGGAGGGGAACATCACACACCAGGGCCTTTCGGTGGGGGGGGATAGGAGGGCAAGTGAAGGGAAAGCATCAGGAGAAATGCCTAATGCAGGTGACAGGTTGATGGGTGCAGCAAACCACCATGGCACATGTACACCTATGTAACAAGCCTATACATTCTGCACATGTATCCTAGAACTTAAAATGTTAAAAAAAAAAAAAAAAAGAGAGCGAGAGAGAGACAGAAAAACTGACTCCTAGCATTTATAAAATCTATACAGCATTGAAAACTGGACATGGACCCTTTGGTTTTTAATCTTTGGTAACAGCTATCAGACCACAGCTTCGATTTAGCTAAAATTTTGGAAGTTAAAAAAGTATTTATAGGCCGGGTGTGGTGGCTCAAGCCTGTAATCCCAGCACTTTGGGAGGCCGGGGCGGGTGGATCACGAGGTCAACAGATTGAGACCATCCTGGTCAACAAGGTGAAACCCCGTCTCCACTAAAAATACAAAAAATTAGCTGGGCATGGTGGTGCGTGTCTGTAGTCCCAGCTACTAGGGAGGCTGAGGCAGGAGAATCACTTGAACCCAGGAGGAGGAGGTTGCGGTGAGCCGAGATCGTGCCATTGCACTCCAGTCTGGGTAACAACAGCAAAACACCGTCTCAAAAAAAAAATTATTTGTAAATGACACTGACAAAAATCATCTCACTCAAAATAAAAACCACTGCTGTGATTCTGCATGCTTTCCAGTGCTTCCCTGGGTGGGTGCTTGGGAGGACCTGGCAGGCAGAGGGGTCAGAATTGTCATGACTGTCATTCAGCTCTACTTCCTCCCAAGTTTCCTACTTTTGCCTTCTGCATATTTTACATATCAATAAAATATTGGATACGAGCAGTCTCTGCAGGTCATCTCAGGAAGGTACAGTCTAGAACTATGGCCCAAAGGCAGATATAAATGACCCTGAAGCCAGACCCAGAATTGAGAATCACATGTGATGCCAAAATAGGTTCAGGATGGAGCTATTGAAAAACTTATGGCCAGACCAGGATCTGAGAGGTGATTGTTGAATAGATGCATCTGACTTTATGTGTGTATTACAAAGGAATATTTGTTCTCATGCAGTTTAATATAGGTTGCCATAAATAATTATAACAAACG